AAAGATAAAACAGTCATATTTTAAATGGGATTTGGCAGCACTGGAGGAAGCGCGCACTGACGGTGCTGATCGTAACTTGGGAGTGTGATCATAATTTTAGTTTATCCGTTTGTATTTTTGAATCTTGAATCTTTTTCTCCCAATCTCCCATGAGACTGTTCGCGGTTTTCCTGCAGCGCGTGCTTACCTGAGAGGAGACCGACACAGAGGACATGGAGACCGGCGTCTGTCTGCTGCGTCCCGAGGATTTAGTGCGATGATACCGGCTCTTCTTCAGCACACGTCCGCGTCAGGCTGCCTGGGTCTCCTCCGACGAGTAAGTGTGTGAGTGTGTGTGTAGTAATAGCGAATCAGGCCCGTCCGTGTCTCCTCTGAAAGAATAAAGAGGAGGGCTGAAAGGGAAGTCTGGCCCGGGGCCCTTCAGACCCCCGGGGGGCAGGATTAGGATGCAATAACGCGGCCGGTTTGTTCTCTTCTCTTCTCCCGCCCGGACTCGTTACTCGTTGCCCCGCCTGCAGAGCTCCTCCGCCAGGGAGCTGAGCGATGATTTATCCGGAGAATCAAACATCCATCAGCGGCGTGAGCATTATTCTGTGTCCTCAGCAGAGTCTTCAGTGTGTCCTCCTGTCCGCACTGCGCTCCCCCCCCTCCTCCTCCGGTCTGCTCCTGTATTTTAACATCAAACATCCCTCCGGCTCTGGAGCCAAATGACGTCTATCGTCATGCATTCTGCCGCTCCAGCAGCCGCAGGCACAATGCGCCATTTCAATTATCGCGCGCTGCTAGATGGAGATGTGCGCGCGAGGCTGCGCGCACAGATCCGGTTTATTCTGCTCATCTGTCTGCATAATGTGTCCTTCTGTTCTGTCTGCTGCTGCTCAGAGAGACGAAAGGAGAGACATTCAGGAGAAGTCCGGTCCTCCTGCAGGAACCATTTTGAGTCCCGCGCCTTTACGCAGAGAGTGCTGCTGACTGTCACCTTCATCCTCACACACACACACACACACACACACACACACACCACACACACACACACACACACACAACACACATACACACACACATACACACACCCACAGTCTCCTCTAAATCAATCCCTTCATCATCTGTGTGTCAGCTGCTCTCAGCATCGATCTGATCAAACTGATGAATGATACTAAATAAATAAAAGTTAGTCAGGAGGTCAGGGAAGGTTCTGCTCCTCACCTCCATCTCCTTAAAGAAACAGTCACCTGTTTTATAAATGCATGACTTTCTGGTTTTATATAAGATATAATAAATATTCTGATTTTAGTTAAGCTGAAATCCTCGTCATGTCGTCTTTGATCTCTTCAGACTGAAAGCTTTGTGAATTGAGATAGAAAAGGATAATTATTCAGACTTTAATGATTCACTTTAAAGGAGCAGTATGAAGGATGTAGTGCCACCTAGTGGTGAGTGTACAGACTGCACCCAGCTGAGCTTCTTCACCTAACATGCAGGAGACCTCATGCTGGCCCTCAAAGGCTGAACTAGTGTTTGGTTTATCTGGGCCACCGTAGATAAACCAAACTGATGTAGATGTAAATAAAGCCTTAAACTTGAATTTTCTCTCTCATCAGGCTTTTATTCTGAAAAAATCACACAAAGAAAGAGCTGAGAGTCAAAATAAAACTCTGTTTATACTGAAGTTTAAGTCAGTGTTCACCCCCCTCCCCCTCCCCCTTGGTGTACTGTACTCGGGGTTTCCCTGTGAAGGCCTGTGATAGAACAGGGGCTGATGGGAAACTGATGTGTGTAATTGAGGTCAATGACACGAAGACTCGCTTTAAAGAGGCGCTGAACCCACACACGCACTCACTGACACACACGGGCCGCAGGCAGCCCCCCCAGCAGATGTAACCAGCAGAGTGTGTGGATTCTCTCTAATTAAAGAAAGCCTGCAGTTACTTTAATTAGATGAAAACGAGGAATCATGTTCAGAATTTAAAGATTTAAATATCTCCTAAACGTGCCCGAGGTGCTCGCCGCTCTCTGTGGAATCTATGATTTCAACACATCCGGGTGTTTAGACCGTGTGTAGGAGTTTGTCTGCAAATTTGAAACAAGAAATGACCGAATATTTGGTACGTAGGAGTTCTTTTAATGTTGCCGTGAAACAGATGTAAAAATCTGGTTCAAAAGCGACCCTGTGACGATGATGATGATGATGAGGAGGGTGAGGATGATCATCAATGCTGTGAGGTCCCCTGGATGCTGTGAGGTCTCATGACTGCTGTGAGGTTCCCTGATTGCTGTTAGGTCCCCTGAATGCTGTTAGGTCCCCTGAATGCTGTGAGGTCCCCTGAATGCTGTTAGGTCCCCTCTCAATCAATCAATCAATTTTTATTTGTATAGCGTCAACTCATAACAAGTGTTATCTCGAGACACTTTACAAAAGAACAGGTAAAAAGACCTTACTTATTGCTATATTACAAAGACCCGGCCTATCCATCATGAGCACTTTAATAAAGCAGCAAAAGTTACAGTGGTAAGAAAAAACTGCCTTATTAAAAGGCACGGAGACACACAGATGTTTACATCATGCAAACAGCTGTTTGTGTGTGTGTGTGTGTGTGTGTGTGTGTGTGTGTGTGTGTGTGTGTGTGTGTGTGTGTGTGTGTGTGTGTGTGTGTGTGTGTGTGTGTGTGTGTGTGTGTGTGTGTGTGTGTGTGTGTGTGTGTGTGTGTGTGTGTGTGTGTGTGTGTGTGTGTGTGTGTGTGAGATACAGAGGAGAATTGAGACTGAGCAGCAGCAGTGATGTTTCCTCTTAGGCCGTCTCTGTAAGACAAAGACATGGAGGGGTTGGGGGGGGCAGTAGATTTACCCCTTCGGGCATGTAGAGCGAGACTCCCTGAGAATCTATGGAGAGGTGACAGACACACTGAGGCGACTCAGACACAAAGAAGTCTTTGTTCCTAAACCTCCTGAAATCCAGATCAGATTTAACTTGATCAGTCTGTGTCCTCATCTCAAGGTAAATCAAAAAATACAACAACTTACTAATTGTGTGCAAACATGGCCACCAGGTAAGAATAAAAACAAGGAACCAAGGTCATAGTAAATATATCATGACTACCCAACATCAGGCTCAATCATATAAATATGAATGTTTGAAGCCTGAGTGACGTCACCTGTCTGTTCCTGCAGGGGGCGCTGGAGTCCCATCGATGGCGGTCTCCATGCTGGAAATGCTGTCTCAGTCTAACTTTCAGTCAACCTAACGACAGGCTGAGAGCTGGAGCTGAGGGGGGTTTTAAGCCTCCTGACAAACCGTTACACCGCGTCCACCTGTCAATCATCTCAGCTGCACGCCTTATTGTGAATAACTCTTATCCTTCATCAAATCAAAACTGATGAGTCATCAAAACATTCATCCCCCGTACAGTGTGTCGATCGAGACATGAGCTAATCAGACCTATTTGTTTTTTGAACCAGGCTGTAAACATGTTAATCTCTGCTGTAAAAACAGCATGTCAGCTATGCTCCTGTGAACCCAGGAGTCCAGTTGCTCATGGCTGCACTTATGCTTTGGAAACAGACCCAGTGGGCTCGGGCCAAGCCCCCCAGGAATTGCGCCAACCGTTGAAGCCAATTTGACATGGTGGCTGAACCTGGTATTGCAGCGCCTTGTGTTAAATTGGGCCCAAAAATCATTTTTTCCCACAAGCTTACATTGGGAAAGAGATGTCTATAAACCAGAAGATTACATTATTCTTTGCTTCATGCGCCACTGAGCAGCTTTATGGGAAGGAACAAGGCTCCGCCTCCAATGCTGTATCCAATCTGCAATACGTACATGGGTAGGACGCACGCCATTAGATAGAAGAAAACCACGGGCAGCTTAAGATAAGACATTATTGTCCATTAGCACAGACATTTATCTTTCATTACAAGCTCAGAAATCTTCAAATCACAATCACATCACATCGCAGGTAGAGGCAGAGCATGAAAACATCTTAAGTTACATTAAAAATCACAGCGTGGAATGAAGAGTGCATCAATTGTGTTCCATCAGACTTGCTACAGAGCTCCTGGTCGCCTCCCTTTGGAGGACTTCTGGACACGTCCAACTGGGAGGTGGGTGGTGTAGACCTTGAGCCTGCTGGTCTGGGGATGCCTCAGATCCCCCAGAAAGAGCTAGAAAAGGTTGCAAAGGAACCTGCTGCCACCGCAACCTGACCTGGGATATCAATCAGAACTTACAATGTAAGAAACAAACATCAGATCTTTAAATGTGTCAAATGTTCAACCTCCACAACCCAAACCAATAATCTTTTCTGTGATTCTTGTTTATCTGCAGTTTGAAAACAACAGTTTGAATCAACTCATCTCTGAGGATATAAACAGACGAGCATTATGTAAAGTATGTTAATCACAAACCCAGGTGTCAAGCTGCAGGTGAGATGGCAGTGTTAAGGCGTCAAGGTCGTCCAAAGGTCATCAGGACTGATCAATAAAAAGACTAACTTTAATTCTTCCTCTTCGTAACAGACGGTTGTAAACACACAGTTTTTGTGAAGAGAAAATTACGAAACAGGAAGGAGAAACACGTCCTCTTCTGTTTCACACTCAAACTGCAGTGTCTCAAAGTGAACCTTCAGCTCGGGTTCAGAGTCTGGAGGAAAAAGACTTCTATTAAATGATGTTGAAGCCGTTCAGTGAAACTTTGTCTCTGACTTCCTGCTCATCTGGCATCTTAATGTGGACGTGTAAACTGTAACAGAAGTCATTACAGGGAACAAAGCTGAAGGTGCTTCTTTTCTCTCAAACTAGAAAATGTGAAACATTTGACAAATCCCTTGAGTCAGAGACCCAACAGCTCCACTCCTCATGGCTTTAAAAGACAAAGAAAATACACACTGTAGTACATCTTTACGTCCACAGGGGGGTGTCAGGTATGTTCAGAATAAAACCAAACAGGATGCCATGTTCCTGTCACACCAGCTGCATTATGGGTAAATAGAGAGCTCCCAGGAGTCCAGCTGTTTAAGAGGTCCAGGTTCAACATGGCTTCAGAGCATTGTTCTTAGTGCAGGTCTTGGAGGGGTTTGGGGAAGTCAAACATCTCGTAGTCGATGCGGTAGAAGTCGTAGACTCCCTGCCTCTCAGTGGCGTTCAGCTGGGAGAAATATTTCTTCATGATGGAGGAGTGCGTCCTCTCGTCCTCAGGGTTTCTGTCCTTATAGTCGGGGTAGCTGAGGTTCTGTGGTGCTCCGATGCTCCGCAGCAGGAAGTTGGCTTCACTGTTCATGTTCTCAAACTTGCCGATGAAGTCATACTGGATCACACAAGGTGGACACAGAGTGCTCATCTTTGCCCAGTGGATGTCATTCCCCACTGGACGTTGCGGGTCCAGCAGGTAGTGCACAAACTCCCTGAAGGTGACACCATCACCGGTGCGCAGGGCTTCTTGTGACGGGTTGGCGCGGTACCTGGAGATGATGGGCCGTCCAAACAGAGAATGGTAGTAATCGTTTTTATTCTCAAACTTGTCTCGATATGCTGACACCAAACGCTCAAAAGGATCCCTAACAAACAGCACCTTGGTGTAGGTGTTCAGCCTCTGGTTGATGCCCTTTGGGCCGTATTCCTCCAGTTTCCGCAGTTTGTTTTTGAAGTGTGCCGTCACATGAGGGATGTTGAGTACAGAGGTGGCTCGGCCTGCCAGAACCATCAGCACCCGCTTCCAGTTGGAGCAGCCGACTTTGGGAACCTCACAGTACAGCAGCCTGGACTTGTCCTCCACATGGATCATAGACATGTGTGTTTTGGAGACAACCTGGTCCCAGGAGCCCAGCTGGTATTTGGAGCAGATGTTGGCCAGCACCTGGTGCCGTAACTCCTGCTTCAGCACCAGCTGCTGCAGTCCCTCCTCCCATCCAGTATGAGTGCTGTTACCTGCAGAGGTGTTTTTCAGACGTTCTGTGACGAGAGGAGTGGTGTTGCTCGTCATAAGAGATGCGATCAGAGAGGAGATATGTGAGGCTGTTGGATCGTCTGCCTCGTCCTCCTACAGAGAGAGGGACACAAATCATACCTCTTTGAAATGATGAAACCTGCAGCTGGATCACATCTTCAAACCATCATTATGATATGATGACCAGTCTCCACTGTTCATGAGTCTGTTCAAGTCAATTCAATTTAAAAAACTTTATTTGTCCCCGGGGGGCAATTCAAATGTGAGGAAACGTTCTGCAAGCCGTCATGCTGCTTTTGAGTTTTTGAGTGGTGTGTTTGCACAGATTCTGGGTGATTTGAGGAGTTTTGTGCAGGTGAGAGAAACAACCCTGAGAGAAGAGTCTGTTTACACTGAGTGTGCTGTAATACTCCTTCATACCAGCAGGTGTCACCATCTGCCTGCAGCACTGTAGTTACACACTGTATGTAGTAATGTTGGGTACTGTGTGTGATGAGGCTCACCTGTTCTGTGACCAGCTCTCCTCCTTCTTCAGTTTCCAGGGCTGCGTCATCTGTGGGGGTCTGGGTCTGGGTTTGGGTCTGGGGAGACCGGGCTGCAGAGTCTGGAGTTGAATCTGTTGGGACTGGCACCAAGGAGGGGGGTGGGGTGTGATGGGGGGACGAGGGAAAAGCTGTTTAGTACAAATAGCAGCTAAGAGTTAGCATGCATCTTAAAAAACAAACAGAAGCCCTTAGTTACATCGCTCTTCATGCCATATATTTTTCACCTTTCTTAATCTTGGAATGAACTGTCCCAAATTTTGCAGAACGGAGGAGTTACAGAGTGTTACTTCAAGACGACACAAAAAGACAGAATTTAAAGGATGGTGTTCTAGCAGCCTTATTATGAAAGGGTCCTTCCTGTGAGGTGTGTGAATTTGTGGATGTACTGTACACACACACACATATATACACACACACACACACGTGCGCGCACACGCACAGTGACACTCCACAGGAGGAGAAAGATGCTTTGAATAACTCTGCAGCACCTCTGAATGTTAAACAGGAAACACACACACACGGGGACGGGGCTCCAGATGGCCTCTCAGCGGCTTCCTGACGTTGAAGGTTAGCGGCGTCTGTCTCCTGGTTATTTATTACCCAGAATACACCTCACCGTCACAACTACACACAGGTCCAATCACTGATTCTTATTAATTCACGTAGTTCTCATCTCTGCCTGAGGGGGCGCTGCTGCTATTCACAGAGAAACCACTGTCTTTGTGTGATTTAGAGGTCTCAAAGTCGTCATGAACCGACTGAACTGATATGAAGTTAACGTCTTTAGATTTGACTGTGCACAACTGCACCAATCAAAACTGGGTGAACCCACATGCTGGTATGGGACTGACGCAGCACAGACAGGAAGGTGACCTGGGCTGAGTCCAGCTCGCCATCACAGGCACATGCTGGAGTCTGATAGGTGGAGACCTCTGTGGATAAAACCAAACCACAGTTCTCGATCAGAAAGAGACGGCAGAGAGGAAATGATTGATAGTCCAAAGACATCAGATCAAC